ATCGGTATCATTTATCAGACTTTTACCTATATTATCACGAGAAAGCTACGTATACTGCACTTCGTGATAGTTCGTTAATCCTCGTGCGTCTTCGGGATTCCCACGCGCTCAACGTGTGCTCCCTGCTATACTTGTCGGTATATCTCGGTACGTGTTCGCAGACTATGGAAAATGTCAATCGAGCGGCAACCTCGACCGCGTACTATATATATATATATATATATATATATATCGTTGCAACAGATGAAGAAATTAAATAGGTACGCGACGGAATTGCAACGAAAGCGTCCTCGCACTCGCGCAGCTGCGAAGCTGCATTTGCAAAGCTGCAGTTGCAACGTCCCAGAGGCGCGAATGTTTTCCCACGATCAGCAACACCGACTACGTCCACGTATCGTGATCTCAGAGCCCAAGTATCCTTGTATCACCCGCGATAGATAACTCGTGCCTGCGGATGCTGCGCGGTGCAACATAATTTCCCACTTTATTTTTTTTTTTCCCCCAGATAAAAAATATATTCCAAATAATTTCGCTGAAAAAAAAAATAAAATTATGTCGAATCGCGAGCTTCGCCGAAATCCCGCTCGACCCAGTGGCGCCTCGGTCGCTCCTTACAGCCGCCATCTTGGTATAAAAATAAATTTTTGCCCTTCAATCTCCTTAATTCTCATTTTATCAATCGTAATCACACCCGTAGATATCATTTTGAGCCTCGCGAATATCGTTACTCCCGTTGACGATCGAATTTCCCAACCGTTAACCGGCAGTCGGTATCGTTTCCGCGTGGCGCCAACCTAACCTCATTTTTTCACCGAGCAATTTCAGCCGTAAACCGCCGTCCGTCTTCGGGTACGGCTAGTCCGCCGCGAATTCCCTAATAACCTACGGGGGGGTCTTGCGCCGCCTGTGCATGTGCAACACGCGTCCTCTCCTCCTAACCTACTAGCGGTATCGCGTCTCTATCGTTGCCCGGCATCCTTCCCCTCCCCGCCGCCCTACCGCCCCCACTTCACCCGCCCTCTCCTCCTATTCCGCTCCGTGTGGAATCGTGCATCTGAAAGTATAATTGCCACTGTCATATGGAGACTCGCCTTACGCCGCTGTCTAATAAGCAACGCAAATCGGTTCCGAGATCGTCGTCGCCCGGCGCCCTTGTAACGCGTGATTCGATAATTGCATAACGTTTTACAGCCCGTGAGCATTTTCAAGGTCCCCCAAGGAACGTGCACGCTCGATTGGTCGAGTGAGATTTCAGTGGGTAAGGGGGTGGATTCGCATAAGGGCTGGAACATTGATTCTTGTTTCGATCGGCTAATTTTATTTCGATTATCGATTTTTTTTTTTTAATTTACACTTACCGATTTTGTTACCGGGTCGCTGCCGATCGGTAATAATAATAATTACGACGACGAATAAAGAATGCCGTGTCGTCATTTTCCTTTGGAACTGCAATACGATACTCGAGGTACCCCGTAATCTTTTATATATATATAGAGCGTTACGCTCGGTTGGCTGTTAAAAGTGTAATGTGCAGGCCTTATCTTTTATTTAGTCTAGTGTCGCTGTGCCCTGTCGCGTATGTGTGGTACGTGTGTCGGGCTCTGATATCGAGGAACACGAGACGCGTCCGAACAAGTTCGGTACAGGTCGGAGCCGATGCGGAATAGAAACGAGATTCGAGGGCGATATATTGAGCATTTTTGTTTGTCCGGGATTGCCGTGCGATGTTCAGGCGTAATGGACAAGGTTAGGTTAGGTTGACCACGTGGTCAGGCGGATGACGTTATTGTAGAGGAAATCGAATCCTCTTCTAGCTCGCGATTCGTCATTGTCGGTGCCTTTGACGATCTACGCAGACTTTTTTTTTGTCACTCGAAACGTCTTGGTTGGATTTTCTTTTTTTTTTTTTTTTTGGAAATTCTATAACGGGTCGCCCTTCAACCTCTTCGTCTCTTCGGGCCACATTTTCCTCACGCTGTGATTTCATCCACTTGCCGATGATATTCGTCGAAAATTTGTTACCGGTTGTCATTTCTCAGGGAGCATTGGCTGACGTCATTTTTCTTATCTGCTGATCGATCGGTTCCTCAATTGGCGTTTGCATCATCGATCGTTGGTGTTGGGTATGAAAAATTTTTTTTTTGTAATTTTGCAAGGAACTATATTTGGGGTGATGCATCTTTTGGATTTTGACGGTTATTTGTTTTTAAATTTATTTCAACTTTTTTTATCGTGGAGATCGATCGGACGCGCTGATGAAGAATAGAGAGAATAGAGAGAACGGACGACGACCGCGTATCGGGTACGAAGGCAGATCGGTAACCGCACGTTGGTGCAATTCTTTTATAGGACCGTTGGGAATCGATGAGTGATTACCGATTCAAGGTCTCGGTCGAGGGACCGATTTATCGGTATTTACGGGTATCGGGTCGATTCCACGATTAATTAACGAGTGACGTTGCCAGAGGGGTGGGCCACGTACTTCGCAGTCGCGATATTTCGAGTTTACTGGAAATTTATATGGCTCGTGTTTTTTTTGGGGGTTACCCCCCCTTTTTTTTTTTTTTTTTTTTTTTTTGAAAATTTCCACCTCGTACCAAGCACGGCTATCGTATTTTTATGGAACGCGAACGCTATCCGGGACGATTAGATAGAAGCAAGATTTTTTTATATTTTGAAAAAAAATTTCTTTATCACGCCGCGAATCGATTAATCAAATTCGCGACAATGAATTCTATCTGAGACTCGACTAGGAAAATTCTTTCGAGGTCAAACGCCGAGTGACTTAATGGCAAATAAGGAGAGTAGTGTCGATCGATTAGTACCACGTGACCATAAGATAATGCCACTCGATTTTGATCGGGGTCAAGTGCCGAAGGTCACCAGTCGATGTGACCGTCGCAAATTGAATTGCAGTTAGAAATTGTCGCACGCGATTCGAGCAAGGTCCATGGGCAATAGATAGCCAGTGGCATTTCCTGTTGTCGGATTTTCGTTGGGAAGAAAGAAAAATTTACTCTTTTTTTATCTTTTTTTTTTTCATTTACGCAAATCACTTATCAGTCCTCATACCGATCTACGAGTTCCGTGCGATCAAGAATCTTCGGACTGATCGTCGACCACGTGGACATCCGGTCAATTTACGTAGCTACGGTGGCGCCATCTGAACAGCTTTTTACTTACCGCTTCGCCCGGAAGAAATCGGCAACAGACCAATCCCGCACGAAAGTCTTTACGTTCGGCGCGAATGACGCTTCCGCGTCGCGCCGAAGGATAATGACGACGCATCCAATTCCCAATGACAGAACGAGTGCATCGATATGCAGCGGCTGTATAGAAATACGTGGATAAGAAAAATAAGAGCGACAGTGCACCAGTGGGAATAATAAAATTTATTATTTTTCAAAATCAGGATTTACACGAATTAGAAGAAAAAGTATCTCCACGACTCGTGGAAAATGGAGTAAAATTTTTTTACGTCATGATATTTTATACCGTCATCTCGTGCGTCCTTAGAATGACTGGAAAAAAAAAAAAAAAAAATTGAACGCTTTCAGTTTACCCGTCGATCTCCCACGTCGATATAAATCAATAATCCTATGTATGACTTTCGATTTCCTGATGGTTGGAAAATAGACACTTATAGTCGTACTACTAATAATACTTACTGTCAATGTATTAGGACCTGCAACTTTGCGTGCTGCAGGACTCGTATTATTTCTGTGTATATTTTATATGCACACGAACCGTGTATACGTATACGACTGTACTTATTTTTAATCCAGTACCCAGTGGGCCTTTTACACGCCCGAGGCAGAAACTGGCCGCCATTGCGCGCTTATGTTATTTACTATTAGCCTGCAGCTGACGGAAGTGAGAGACTTTAAGGTCAAGCTTGGAGGCAGGTAGCGCAGAGACAGTCGGGGGCAGAGTCAGGCCTGCATCTCAACGCGTTCACGTGGCCTTCGAGAGCTGCTCGTGAAGTCCAGATGGAACGTTATGGCTTTGCCAAACGCGTACATTCTTTTTTTTTTTTCTTTTCGACTTGCTTATACTGTATGCGCCTTGTGCGTATATATATGCTCGCGGCCTTATCTACGCAACGTCGTGCGCAAAGGAGCGTTCAGATATGCCGCGTCGCTCGCGCACACTTTGTCGCGTGTTTTGCCTAAGCAATTTGTCTAACCGGCACAAACGACCGGGGGAAATATCGAGGTTCGCATAAGGATTGCCCTTGTCGCGTATGGTACTATAAAAATTAATTCTAGGCATACCTTTTTTTTTGTTCCTCTGGTTTTTTTCCGTTGGGCCGGCCTCGATTGTACGTTAATTTGAATCGCCGCGACCGTTTGAAATTTGAAATTGTATCGGCGCATGCGCAGACGCGCGCTCGAATTCCTCGTGTGAATACGTAACTACGAGTCGTGGATTATTTTTTAAAATTGGGACATTTTTTTTTAAGGTTAGGTTCAGTAGAATAGGTCATAGGTCGGATGTCGTGAACTGGGAAATAATGTTGCTCTTCGGTATGTGATCTCGTGCCGGGGAGATGCCCGTATTATTGTTGTTATCGAGGCTGAACGTTTGTCCGGTT